ACAGTACTAGGGTATGAAGATAAGAATATGCAGGTGCTTATGACTGATAAGGAGAGATTATATTTTCTTGGTCATGTTTTTAATTTTGATTCTCTATCCCGATCTATCTATCTTTCTATCTATCTTTGTCTATCTCTATCTCTCTCTCTATCTCTATATATCTATCTATCTCTATCTCTATCTGTCTCTCTCTACCTATCCCTCTCTACCTCTCTCTCTTCTCTCTCTCTCTCTCTCTCTCTCTCTCTCTCTCTCTCTCTCTCTCTCTCTCTCTCTCTCTCTCTCTCTCTCTCTCTCTCTCTCTCTCTCTCTCTCTCTCCCTCTCTCTCTCTCTCTCTCTCTCTCTCTCTCTCTCTCTCTCTTCTCTCTCTCTCTCTCTCTCTCTCTCTCTCTCTCTCTCTCTCTCTCTCTCTCTCTCTCTATCTATCTATCTCTATCTCTCTCTTTATCTCCCTCTCTCTCCCTCTCCCTCTCTCTCTCTCTCTCTCTCTCTCTCTCTCTCTCTCTCTCTCTCTCTCTCTCTCTCTCTCTCTCTCTCTCTCTCCCTCTCTCTCTCTCCCTCTCTCTCTCTCCCTCTCTCTCTCTCTCCCTCTCTCTCTCTCTCTCCCCCTATCTCTTTCTCCCTTGCTCTTTCTCCCTCTCTCTTTCTCCCTCTCCCTTTCTCCCTCTCCCTCTCTCCCTCTCCCTCTCTCTCTTTCTCCATATCTCCCTCTCCCTCTCCCTCCCTCTCCCCTTCTCCCTCTCTCCCTTCTCCCTCTCTCTCTTTTTCTCTCCCTCTCATGTCACTTCCTCAGTCAGCAGGAAGACGAGAGAATGGCTCTTACATTATTTATAAATTGAAAACGGTGACTTGGCTGTCCACTCGTTGGCTGTTACTTTCTCGCGAAGCAGAATTTCGAAATGTTGGCTGAATTGTTAATTTAGAACGAGAGGGAGGGGGGAGAGAGAGAGAGAGAGAGAGAGAGAGAGAGAGAGAGAGAGAGAGGAGAGAGAGAGAGAGAGAGGAGAGAGAGAGAGAGAGAGAGAGGAGAGAGAGAGAGAGAGAGAGGAGAGAGAGAGAGAGAGGAGAGAGAGAGAGAGGAGAGAGAGAGAGAGAGAGGAGAGAGAGAGAGAGAGGAGAGAGAGAGAGAGAGGAGAGAGAGAGAGAGGAGAGAGAGAGAGAGGAGAGAGAGAGAGAGGAGAGAGAGAGAGAGAGAGAGAGAGAGAGAGAGAGGAGAGAGAGAGAGAGAGAGAGAGAGAGAGGAGAGAGAGAGAGAGAGGAGAGAGAGAGAGAGGAGAGAGAGAGAGAGGAGAGAGAGAGAGAGGAGAGAGAGAGAGAGAGAGAGAGAGAGAGAGAGAGAGAGGAGAGAGAGAGAGAGAGAGAGAGAGAGAGAGGAGAGAGAGAGAGAGAGAGAGAGAGAGAGAGAGAGAGAGAGGAGAGAGAGAGAGAGAGAGGAGAGAGAGAGAGAGAGAGAGAGAGGAGAGAGAGAGAGAGGAGAGAGAGAGAGAGAGGAGAGAGAGAGAGAGGAGAGAGAGAGAGAGGAGAGAGAGAGAGAGAGAGAGGAGAGAGAGAGAGAGAGAGAGGAGAGAGAGAGAGAGGAGAGAGAGAGAGAGAGAGAGGAGAGAGAGAGAGAGAGAGGAGAGAGAGAGAGAGAGAGAGAGGAGAGAGAGAGAGAGAGGAGAGAGAGAGAGAGAGGAGAGAGAGAGAGAGAGAGAGAGAGAGAGAGAGGAGAGAGAGAGAGAGAGAGGAGAGAGAGAGAGAGGAGAGAGAGAGAGAGGAGAGAGAGAGAGAGGAGAGAGAGAGAGAGGAGAGAGAGAGAGAGGAGAGAGAGAGAGAGAGGAGAGAGAGAGAGAGAGGAGAGAGAGAGAGAGAGAGAGAGAGAGGAGAGAGAGAGAGAGGAGCTTCGTACGAGCTGGTCCGGCCCGGCCGCTACCTGCTGAAGGAGGGCGAACTCATGAAGTTGTGTCGGAGAGGCATGCAGCCGCGCTACTTCATCCTGGTGAGGGCGCGCTTCTCGATTCGCTTTTGTTTGTGCTTTTCTGCTTCTTTCGTCTGCTTGTCCCTCGCCTTTTTTTTTCTTCTTCTCCCTTTTTCTGATTTTTTTTTTTTTTTTTGCATCGTTATTTTTCTTATTTTTTCCCCTCCTGCTCCTCACCCTTCTTTCTGCTTCTGCTTCTTTTTTTCCTTCTTCCCCTTTTCATTCAAATTTTATATTTTTTGCCTTCTTTCTAATCTTTTTCTCCTTCTCCTTCTCCTCCTCCTCTTCTTCCTCTTCCGCTTCCTCTTCCTCTTCCTCTTCCTCTTCTTCCTCCTCCTCCTCCTCCTCTTCCTCTCCTCCCCTCCTCCCTTCGTCCCTTCCTCCTCCTCCTCCACCCCTCCACCCCACTCTCTCCCTCTCTCTTTCCCTCTCTCCCCCTCCCTCTTTCTCCCTCTCTCTCCCTCTCTCTCCCTCCCTCTCTCTCCCTCTCTCTCCCTCCTTCTCTCTCAATCTATCTATCTATATATCAATCTGTCTGTCTC